AGGAATTAAGTCATATCAAAAGAAGAATTAATGGGGTTAGATAAATTCTGGGAGGGCAATTACTGGGCAGTAGCAATACTAAAAGATGCCACTGCCAAGGGATCTTTCATAGGCAACGGCATTGACACTCAGATAAATCTTATTAGTACTGTGCAGAAAAAAAAGCCATGATAAACAACTTCTAAATACTTAATATTTCAAAAACATTATGATTAGAGATGGGGGTATTCATATTCATACATGAATGCGAATATTCTCGCACAGGTGGAAATAACCGTCCACTCACAATTTCGCCGCTGCCGCCAGCTCCGCAGAGGCTTCCTATCGCACTGTTCTGCACAATGGATTAGCCACTCTTCGACCTAGCAGAGAGGCTTGTTATCCAGTCGGTAATCGATTGTGGACAACGGCATGATAGGAAGGCTCTGCGGAGCCGAAATCGTGAGTGGAAAGTCTGGTCCCATGGGGCCGGACCCTCGTTATTTCCACATGTGCAGGGATATTCGTATTCGTATACAAATACCCCATCTCTACTTATAATGACACAAGTATGAGTTGAACAAGAAATAATGGTGGAAGATGAGGCTCCTCGGTAGGAAACTACTCAATTAGCTCCTGAGCAGGAAATGAAGATAAGAACAAATAGTGCTGTTTCTAATAAATAAATTAGATTAAAGCTGCAAAAAAATTCAGCTGCTTATGCTAACAGATGTACAAAGAAAGTCAAGAGATGCAAAAGGAAATATGTATGGTGCAAATAAACCCGAAATAAACCTTTACTATAAGAGACAGGAACTGGATAGGCTAAGGGGAAAACAAATTAATCTATCTGTCACTAAAATTAAAATATACACCCAAAAGCATATGTGTTTGTGTGTGCACAGGTGTGTGCGTGCACACACAAACACATATATACACAAAAAGCTACTTGTTCTGATATATACACACAAACACATATACCGTATTTTTCCGTGTAGAAGATGCCCCCATGTATAAGACGCTTCCTACTTTTCTAACCCCAAATTAAGAAATTTAAGTGGGGCTTAGCAAGTGTAGGGGGAAAGGGATCAAAGCACTGCAGGATCACTTTGATCCCTGCTTTCTCCCTTCATGCTAAGCCCTGCAGGGCTTAGCAAAAGGAGACGGAAAGGGATCAAAGCAATCCCACGACTGCACGATTGTTTTGATCCCTTTCCTACGCTTCCTACTTTTCTAACCCCAAATTAAGAAATTTAAGTGGGGCTTAGCAAGTGTAGGGGGAAAGGGATCAAAGCACTGCAGGATCACTTTGATCCCTGCTTTCTCCCTTCATGCTAAGCCCTGCAGGGCTTAGCAAAAGGAGACGGAAAGGGATCAAAGCAATCCCACGACTGCACGATTGTTTTGATCCCTTTCCTCCTTATGCAGCCACGGGATTGCTTTGATCCTTTCCCCCTTCCTTTTGCTAAGCCCCATGGGGCCCGTGTAGAAGATGCCCCCATGTATAAGACGCTTCCTACTTTTCTAACCCCAAATTAAGAAATTTAAGTGGGGCTTAGCAAGTGTAGGGGGAAAGGGATCAAAGCACTGCAGGATCACTTTGATCCCTGCTTTCTCCCTTCATGCTAAGCCCTGCAGGGCTTAGCAAAAGGAGACGGAAAGGGATCAAAGCAATCCCACGACTGCACGATTGTTTTGATCCCTTTCCTCCTTATGCAGCCACGGGATTGCTTTGATCCTTTCCCCCTTCCTTTTGCTAAGCCCCATGGGGCTTAGTAAGCAAAGTAGGGACCAAAGCCATCCTGCAACGCTTTGATCCCTGCTTTCCTTTTACTAAGGCTTGGCAAGTGGAGGGGAGAAGCAGGGATCAAAGCCCTGCCGGATCACTTTGATCCCTGCTTTCCCCTCCACTTGTTTTTGTTCTCTTCTCAGCTTACTTCCCTCTATAAGACGACCCTCAATTTTTAGTCTAATCATTTTAGACAAAAGTATAGTCTTATACATGGAAAAATATGGTACATGCGCACACACACACACACACATACACACACATGTATGTATGCATGTATATGTGTGTGTGTATATCAGAACAAGTAGCTGGTGTGTGTGTGTGTGTGTGTGTGTGTGTGAATAATAATAAAAAACCTTTATTGGTACGTATATAAAATAAACATAGTCAAGCTAGTTTCTTAGATTTCTGGACTCACAGGGAGCGTGAAACAAATACATTTGTTCAAGGTCAGGGCTTCACCTCCTAACAATTGACTCAAGGAAAACTGCTACTTGTTCCATAATGTCGACCACCTCCACTGATAACATGAAATGGACCTTGTCCAGTCTGGATTTCCCCTCCTGCTTTAATAATATTGAGGTAATGTACTTTTTGTGGCAGTCCTGATTAATCTGACAGTGCAAGAGCATGTGAGTGAGGATTTGTTCATAATTTTGAAATGTGCAATGCTTTAAAAAATGTATTGGTGGATTCTTTTTCTGGGAATGAACATTAAGCATTCTCTTAATGCCTACATTCTCATGATACCCACTTTTCACTCTTCTTGAGCCAAACTACTGTATGCTCAAACCATTTTAACCTTTCAATACAAAACTCTCTTCATTCTTGAAATCAAATCTCAAATCCCCAATGCTGATTGTTCCTAGTTTAATCGTACAACAAGGAAATCCGGATACAAAATTAATGTTATAAGATGACTTAGGCGCACCTGGCATCCACAAAAATTCACAATATAAGCTCGGGAGACGGAACTAATTCAGAGAAATATTCCTACTGTGCAAATTGCTTTATAACATTCTCTTTTTTCAGTCAAACAAAAATTATCCCCTTTTTAAAAATTATATTGTTAATTTTTTTTAAAGACCCAGCATGGTCTATAGATTAACCAATATACTTTAATGCAGTATGAGATTTTCATGTGATGGAAGTCTGACTTCTTCAGTGTGATTAATGAAGGAGATACTTGCCACTTAACACAAATGAAATAGAACCTCCTCACATACTGGGGACCTCCTTACAGCGAGAAAGGCAGGAAGGAGCCAGTGTGAAAAATCTTTGACAAACGTATATATGAGAAGACAGCAAGACACAGAAAGAATAAGCTATTGCCTTTCTCTCACACACTCCCTGGACCCCTGCCCAAGGGAACATCCAGAGAGTAAGGCCTTCTTTTTATTAGGATTTTGGCTCCTAGATCATCAGCCTCAGTCCAGTTCATACCAAGAAATCTGAAATTGATACCCTCTAGAAGTTATGCACCAAAGATGAGGCAGTGTCTTTTTCTACCTCCCTAGTCAGTGTGTCTTCACTCCTGCAATTCGGGGGGGGGGGTCACATACAGTAGGTGCTTGTGTTAGGCTTTGGGGTACAGTTTCTCCTCTGAATAGGTATGCACTTCACAATGCCATAACAAATATGTTAGTCTTCAAGGTGTTGTGGCAACTTGATTTTACAGCAAGTTAACTAACAAAGATACCGCTTTACAAAGAGACACTCCAAATTCAGTCCTGGCGCAGTAGCCTAAATGATCCCAGAGAGAATTAAAAAGACACCCAGTGCAGCAACTCACAGAGCGCTCCAATACAGGCAAGAACCAGCCGTGCTGAGCTAGCAGGATTTGATACACATGAGCAGCCTTCTACACACTGGTTTCACTTGGCTTGCCTTTTGACAGCAATATTATACTCAGAGTATTTCCAGTCACTGACACAGCAGTAATGACAGTTTGCCTGGCCAAGAGCTGCACAATTTAAAGCAATAAATATTATCTGCTTTTAAAGTACAGTAGTTTGCTGCTGGTCAGCAGTTTTACAGTTTCCTCAACTCAAATCAGTACGTCAAATCTAACGAGGCAGATGCAAGTGCTTCAGCTAGACAGCTAGAAGAATTTCCTACCAATATGCTTGCAATCGTCTTGAACACCTGCAAAAGGAACGCAAGCTCTCCTCTCTCAAAGGCAAGAGTGTCTTCACTGTGCTTTCCAAATTAATGAGCAAAACATGGAGGAATCCTAAACTATGATCTAGAAGCAAAATGCAAACACCTTTGATCTAAAATATTAACATTCTATCATTTCCATCCAAGGACCCCTCTAAATTGTGTGACTGTGCGCATGCGTGCAACTCTGCCTCCTCCTTTGCGCAGCCCCTTTGGTTCTGATCGCGATAGAACCCCCCCTGCATGAGCCGGGGGCGAAGCTGCAAGAGACAGAGGTGGAGCCCCGCTCAGTGGAGCTGAACACTAGAAGGTATGTTGGTTCCAACACATTAAGAATCAACTGCCTAAAATGGTTTCTATACAGTTCATGATTTATAGTGTCCATTCATCAGACATTGTGATAGCCACCAGATGAGATTTTCTTTTAAAGGAGTTAAACACATTAAAGGAGAGAGGGGCTATAAGCCTATCAGCATCTATTAGCAGCTTTGCCTTAATGACACCTCCAAAGGCAATATTCCTCCTCTCTGATTTCAGAACTAAATGTTGAGGATAGCTACAATTTTCTTGCCCTACTTGGAACAACCAAAAGGTATCTGACCAATTGACCCTTGCTAGGAAGAAAAGGATGGATGGGAAATACCATGGATTGATCCACCAATGTAATTTTGGGCTGTAATTCACAGTTCTGTGCACACAGAGCTTCTAAGTCTCTTCCACATGTGAAGAAATTTCAGAATATATAGAACAAAATTCACCAGTATGATTCAAAGCTTACTTCTTGAAAAATGAGCATGGCTCAGACCTGGACTGAAGTTCCAATGTGATCACTCATCTCAAACTATTTGTTAGAATACACAAACTAAAGCTATTTTGCACATATTCACAAAAAAAAGGCCTGAAGAATTCCCATCTTTTTCTCTGTAATGTGTTTTATAGCTGTACGGCAGCCCAAATCTTTCAGAACAAAAGGTACAATAATATTACATATATACTACAAAGTTGTGCCCTATTACATTCCACGTACAGGTATTCACACTTTCTGCATTTAGGTAACTGAAAGTTCACTTACCAATGCAGGCATGGACTCTCACTGAAAGCTGGGTGCGTAGAATTATACTGTGTTTTTTGCCTCTGCTGTGGGGAAAAATAAATAAAAAAAATGATTAGGTGCAGGTCATGCTAATAACAAAAAAGAACAGTGATTTATACAGTAACTCTAGAATTATATTCTAGGGTAGTATTTAAATGTCTTCTGGAGTTCTAAGAACCTGCATTTCATTATTCAGCTGATCTGACCAAGACCAGGCTAAAAAAAGGAAATACATTATTTTGATTTATTTATGCTTTTCCCAAAAAACATTTTAAAAATTACATACTCCTCAGAGGGGTGTGTGTGTGTGTGTGTGTGTGTGTGTGTGTGTGTGTGTATTAGCAAATGTATATATAATTAACAATAAAGACTACCTTATACCTGGACTCAGTATACCCATAGCAGGCAAATTCAAAGGGTCATTTTTGCCCTTCCCCAGACCGAGAGAGAGAGAGAGAGAGAGAGTTAGCAAATGTATATATAATTAACAATAAGACTACCTCATACAGTACCTGGATTCAGTATACCCACAGCAGGCAACTTCAAAGGGTCATTTTTGCCCTCCCCCAGACTTCAGTGGGTTGCATTTGTCCATTTTTTGGAAGGCTTTCAGCACATCCATGCTACTTTCTTGGTTGTTGGTTTTTAAAAAGCTATTTTGGGCCTAGAGCAGGTCAGGGCAAAATAAGTCCTAAATGGTTGCTCACACTGATGGAGAACTTTGCGTGCCTAATTGGCCATGGAGAATTCTGAACATTTGATTGTCCATTTATAATACCCCCTTTTTTTATTTGTCATGGGAAACAGGTTGCTGAGAGGTTGCACTGTGAGCTATGCAGACTGTAGGCCACACATTACGTATACCTGAAGTAAAGTGAACTATTTCCCAAACGTCTCATATTCTTGATGATATCATTGGGAGGACAGTCAGTTCTAATGCTTTTCAAGTCACTGCCCAGAAATGAGAACTCAGGAAGATTTCACACAGAGCAGAAGCTTAGGTCTGCAAAGTGGAAAATTGTGTCCTGAACAGTAGCAACTCAGCAAGCTACTGCACAGAAGCAAACTTTAGTCTAATAGTTGTGGGGTTTTCAGGCTCTTTGGCCCGAAAACGACCTCTACTCAGCCACAAGAACTGGGTACACACAAAAGACCAGCTAATGACACCCATCAACCACAGTGACAGATAATCTCTTCTCCTCTTCACAACAATACACCCACAAAAAGACACACTAATCACCCATCTCCTGAATAGGACAAAAGCCTATCTCACAGCCATAAATACTCCTCTCCCAAGCCAACTACACCAGAGCACAGAGTGCTGTCCTCTGAAGATGCCGGCCACAGAGACTGGAGAAACGTTAGGAAGAACAACCTTCAGAACACAGCCAAAGAGCCCGAAAAACCCACAACAACCATTAGATCCCAGCCGTGAAAGCTTTCGCGAATACATTAAACTTTAGTCTGCTGCTCAGGAGGCTGCTGCATGGAACTGAGGTGCTATTTCTAGCCAAGGAGAACCTGTGGTGCTTGGATTTACTCCTAAGATAATGTGCGTGCAACTGAGATATCCTTTGTGTCTTGAAAGATGTTGCACTGATGCTTACTGAACAGATAAATGTGACCTATGTTATGAACACTTGGAAAATTGTCCAGACTGGTCCTGCCCATGTTGGCTTAGTCTTATCATAGGTACTAAGCCCCATCTACTGCTGAAATAAAGTATCCCAAGATCCTTCCTAAACTGGAATTTGGCTCTAAGCTAAGAAGGCTCCACACCTTTGATAAACAGCATAATACTGTATTCCCCACACATACCACATCTTTGCCTGAATGGATTCTTCCTTCTCAATTCCTCTTTTAAGACGGAATAACCATTTTTCTTTTCTTTTTTGAGTCTGTTCTTATGCCAACCATTAGAAAAAAGGAAGGAAAAGAATTTGCCTCATCAGAAACAAAGGTTCCTCAAATAAATATCTCAATGTTATGGAAATCTTAATTGCATCTCTCAACTGTTATTAAAGAGCAAACAGAAAAAGTTTTAAAATGTTATTATATCTTATCCTGTTGAGCACATGGTCACATTCCCACCTGACACAAAAAGTGCCTCTATGCCGTTTCTTCTTTTGTTGTGTGCACATTTCAATGTTGTTACAGCAGGACAAAAAAAGGCATCCTTTCTGTTTTCACCAAGACAGTATTTAAAGGGACAGGACGGGGAGGGTGGGAAAAATGTTTATGTATGTGTTATAAGCAAAAATGTTTTCACTGCCACAGCCAGATGCTTTAAAAAAAAAGCTTGCCACAGAGTTTAGGTCTGCAGTCCAATCCCACACATTTCATGAAAAATTAAATCCCATTGAATGCAACAGATTGGTTATAGGACTGCTGCTTTATTTGTTTATTTGATTTATGTTACCCCACATTTTGACTGCAGTTTTCAGAAAGGCCCAGAGTGATGTTTATAACATGCGCTAATAATTAATTACCCTAAGAGGCAGAGGGACTTGCAGACCCCTCCAGTGTGTACATTTGCAGAGGATCACAGTCCTGCTCCTGCAAATCTGAGCAAATCCATCCAGGCCCAGAGTTGAAGCAGAAGCAGCCAACGGGGTTGCAGGCCATATCTCCAAACAGACTCTTGTCTCAAATTAAATATTTAGGGGCAGATGGACAGCACTGAGCACATGAATACTTTTGGATCTAGATTAGCTGATAAGGGGGTTCATGATTTTGGTTACACACTACACACTTCCAGATCTGGGGGTGGGAAGGTTGCAGAGGAAGTATGTATCTCCCACCCACAAGGTCATGCCTTTTCTCTCAAAATCTGCTATCCTAGGTATATAGGTGTGATAAGGGCACTGGTTGGGAGAGAGCAGCAGGAGGTATTACAATTGGCAAAAGGAAAAGCAGATGAGGGAATTGGCCCCACCTTTACATACTATTTAGGAATCAAGTCTACAGATCCTAGGGAAAACATACACACAGAAATGTACAAGACCCCACTGGACTGCAAGCGAGGATGAAGGAGAGGGCAGGGAAGGAGGAAAGGAGGAACAAGATGTGGGTGAGACATTCTTCCTCCTCCTCTTTCCCCACCATTATGCCTTGGGTTGGAACAAGGCATGTACCACCATCCTGTGTTGGTATGTATGCATGTATGCAGCACACAGCACCCTCTCCCTCTTTTTTCTTACACACGCACCTAGAAACATGCAAGCATGTACACACACACACACACAGGGAGAGAGAGGGGGGGTACTGCTTTCTGCAACCTGCCTCATTCTTTTTCACTTTTCCTCCCGTGCAGGAGCCAATTGTGAGCGAGGAGTGACCCAGCTGCTGATCAAAAGGCTACCATAGAGAGGGCTAGCAAAACTAAAATAACTGTTTACTGGTTTTCTAAAGACACTTTTTGACCACACAGTAGCCAGAGTACTCTGTGCAGTGCACAATACTTATATAGAGAGTATAGTCGATGGAACAAGTGATACAGACAAAAATAATAACATCAAGAAAAAACAAACATCAAGAATAAAAACAGCATAGCACAAAAAAACAACAGCAAAGCCAAAACAAAAAAAGAGGAGTGGCATGACTGAAAAGCACTGAAAATAGTTCATAAGATCTCTGAGAGTATATAAAGATCCACAATGGATATACAGTGGTGCCTCAACTTACGAACGTCCCGACTTACAACCATTTCGAGTTATGACTAGCAGAAAATTTTGCTTCAACTTGCGACCAGAGCTTTGAGTTATGATTAGAAAAGAGGCAGGGGAAAAGGCAGGAAATTAAAATTGCTAACCGTTGGTAAGCGAAGAGACTGTTTCTTTGTAGCTCTTTTGCCCCAATGGTTAGAATGAGTGCGATCGGAGGAGGATTTGGACTGCCTGGTAAGGTAAGGTGCTGATTTCTGCTTTTTAAAAACTGTTCTGAGTGGGTTTTGCAGTGTGGTTTTGGGCTGGGGGGGTTATATTTCTATGCTGTGATGAGTCTTGGGGGGGTTTGTTGATTGGTTGGTTTTTTCCCATTTCCGATGGGTCTAGGGGAGTTTCCTTGCTTTTGGGGATTTCCCCCCATTTCTGATGGGTCTTGGGGGGTTGTTTGCTTTTTGGGTCCCCCCATTTCCGATGGGTCTTGCATGCTTCGTTTGCTTTCTGCTTTGCTTCCCCCCCATTGCTGATGGGTTTTTCATGCTTCTTTTGCTTTCTACTTTGCTCCCCCCCATTTCCGATGGGTCTTGCACATTTTGCTTGCTTTCTGCTTTGCTTTTTTCCCATTTCCAATGGCTTGCACGCTTCGCTTGCTTTTTGCTTTGCTTTTTTTTTGCATTTCCAATGGCTTGCATGCTTTACTATGCTTTACTTGCTTTGCTCACCCACCCCCCCGGCCGGAACGGATTAATAACGTTTCCGATGGGTCTTGCAGTGATTTGGGGGGGGTTGATTTTCTTCTTCGGGCAGAATGGATTAATTGCATTTCAGTGCATTTCAATGGGAAATGGTGCTTCGACTTACGACCATTTCGAGTTATGACCAGATTTCCAGAACCAATTAAGTTCGTAAGACACGACACCACTGTAGCAGTACCGTTGCTATTATAACATTATGTTGATGGATTTTTCCCGAAGAACAGAACACAGTTTTTGGAGTTGTCTGTAGAAGCATTTCAAGAAGAAAAACAAAACAAAAAACAAAAACAAGGGGGAAAAGATGTTATGGCACTTTAAAGACTGACTGCTATATTTAATCTAAGCTTTTGTGGAATACAGAATTCAGAAACTACATAGTAAAACATTTACCAATCCATCCTTAACAAGAATACTTCACTCTTCCAAGCCCTTGGTGACAGACCTATACTTACTAACAGACAAACCCACAATCTCAAGCAACTATCATCACCCAATGAGCTACATACCATGGAGTGGACTATACTGTGCTACAAAACCAGATGCCAGCTCTGCCCCTGCATTTACTCTGGCAACATTACCATAGGACCCAACAACATCACACACAATATCAAGGGCACATTTAATTGT